TGGGCCCATCCAGGTAACCCAGGATCATCTCCCTATCACAAGATCCTTAATTTAATCACAGGCAAAGTCCCTTTTGCCATGTAAAGTAACCTATTCACAGGATCCAGGGATTAGGTATTATTCAGTCTACCACAAGTGATCAGAATGGGGTGTCTACAGTCTGATTTTGGGGTCAAGTCCACCTCACAATGGACCCATTCTATGATTATATTTTAAGCTCCAGCATATTCAAATAGCTGTGCTTAGCAACTGGAAGAATCCCAATATTTATTCCCTGACCAAGGAAGAGGATAATTATGGTAGGAAAGGCCAAGTGTAAGCCCCTGGAAGTGCTTCTCCACACCTGAATAGTAAACCAACAGTGATACTGCATCCCTCTGGTAGGTGTCGAGATTTGTATCATGATCCAAAAACCTGAAAGATGTGGGAGTGTCGGTTACCTATCCCATATACTCAACTAACTTGCCTATTTAGCCTGTGCAAGAGGGAGTGTGGAAAATGACTATGGATCAAGTAGTGATACCAATTCAGCTGCCATTTCAAGTCTGGTGACTTTACTGGATCAAATAATACAGTTTCTAGCACCTGGGGCTATAAATCTGGTAAACATTTTTTTTTTTTTTAGGACTAATTAATAATGACCACCCAAAACAGTCTGCTTTCATCCAGAAGGGGCAGCAATGTATTTTCGCCATCTTATTTCAAGCCTATGCCAACTATCTTGCTCAGTGATAATACAGTCTAATGGGACCTAGGTCATCTTGATATCCCACAGAACGTCACATTATTGACATTATGTTAATTGACCCTATTAACAGTAAATAGTTCCTTAGATGCATTAGTAAGACAAATGTGGCCACAGGGTAGAGGGTAAATTACATGAAAATTTTGCTAAATTTCAAGGGATTTGGTGGCCTGGAGCAGTCAGGATATCTCCTCTGTATTGGTTTCCTAGGGCTGTCCTAACAAAATACCACAAACACGGTGGCTTATACAAACAGAAATTTATTGTCTCACAGTAGTGGAGGCTGGAAGTCCAAAATCAGGGTGTCAGTCATGGAGATTCCTTCTGAGGCTTTGAGGGAAAAATTCATTCCATGCTTCTCCTAGCTTCTGGTAGTCCAGGCTTGCAGCTGCATTGAGACATAGCATCCTTCCTCTGTCTCCCCGTCTCTGTGTATCTTCTCCTCTCTTATAAAGACACCAGTCATATGGGATTAGGACCCACCCTACTCCAGTATGATCTTATGTTAATCTAACTGATAACATCTGGAAGGAACCTATTTCCAAACAGGGTCATACGCACAGGTATGAAGGTTAGGACTTAAACATCATTTTAGGGGAACACAATTCAATCCATAAGACCCTCTAATGTGAAACATAAGTCACTACACCTTGTACACCCACCCACCACAAAGAGAAACAATGTTTGCCAGAACTCTGGATTTTAGAGGCACCATATACTACAACTGAGTGTGCTGCTCCAGTCTATTTACTCAGTAACCTATAAGGCTGTCTGTTTTTAATGGAGCCTGGAGTAAGAAAGGGCTCTGCAGTGGGTCTAAGCTATTTTGTAAGCTGCCCTGCCCCTGCCATTTGGATCTTACGACCTATCAGATACACTAGTTATCAGAAGTTCCTGTGGCAGACAGAGATACTGTTTAAAGTTTCTGGCAAGCCCCAATAGAAGAATCACTGAAGAGACCACTAGGGTTTTAGAACAAAGCCATGCCCTTTTTATCAATGTATTAGTTACTTATTGCTGCATAATAAATTATCCCCAAACATAGCAGCAATAAACATTTATTATTTGATCAGGAATTTGGGAATGGCTTAGCTGGGCACTACTGGCTTGTGGTCTCTCATGAGGTTACAGTCAAGATGTCAGGCAGCGCTATAGTCATTTGAAGGCTTGACTGAGGCTGTAGAATCTGCTTACAGGGTGGCTCATCCCCATGTTCGGCAAGTTGATGCTGGCTGTTGACTGGAGCCCTCAGTTCCTCACCATTTGGATCTCTCCAAAGGGCTGCTTGAGTATCCTCATGACATGGTGGCTGGCTTTCCCCAGAGCAAGTGATCCAAGAGAGAACAAGGTGGAAGTCACAGTCTTTTATGGCATAGCTTAAGATGTCACACTTTATCACTTGTGCCATATTTTATTGGACATAAAGGCCAGTCATGATTCAGTATGGGAAGGATATACATGACGGCATGAATGCAAGGAGGTGAAGATCACCAGGAGCCATCTTGGAGGCTGGCTACATAGCCAATGACTATTCACTATTTGAAAAGCAGCTCCTCTCTTGCTACCGTGCCCTAGTAGAAAATCAGATGAGCAAGGGAATTAGACTCTATAATACCTTTTCCACTGCTTCAATGTCTCTACCTAAATACACACTTGGAGTCTTATGGGAAGTTCCCTATATCCAGGTAACAGAGGAGGGAAAAGTCAGTTTTATGCAAAGTAACCTAGTACTAGTCATAAGTGGATGGCTGCTGCATCACTGTCCTTTCCAGGAATGTTCTGAAATACAGCAGACAGGGAAATCTTCCTGATGGACAGAATATTTAGCAGTACATCTATTTTCCATTTTCCACAGAAAGAGGGAAGACCTGATATAAGATCTACACTGACTCATAGACAGTGACTAATGAGTCAGCCAGCTGGTGAGGGACTTGGAAAAAACAAGATGGAAAGACGGTTGACAAAGAGGTCGGGGTGGGGGAAGTACTTGGAAGAATCTCTTAGGATAGGAACAAAGCGTGAAAATATGTGTCTCATATAACGCCTTCCAGAGAACAAGATGATGTCTTGTGGACTTTAGCCAACCTCTCCCCGGTGTCCCCAAGCTTTGCTCAATGTACAGTGTCATGGTGGCAGGCATAGAGGGTAAGAATGAGCTCAACTATATGGGCTTCCCTCATCAAGGCTGATATTGCTACCACCATTGCTGAGTCTCCAAACTACCAAGAGCAGAGGCCAACACTGATCCCCCGATATGGCACAGTTCCCTATAGTTCTAGCTGGTCAGTCTCTCCTTCACAGTTCCAGCTCGCCCAGGCTCCAGTAACACTGTTGACTCCCTTCCTTAGCAGTTGGATGAGGGAGTAGGGGATGGATTTGAGAGACACCTGTAAAGGCAGCATTGAGAGGACTTGGTGTTCAAGTGAATGCAGCAGGGAAGTAGAGAAGAAAACACGAAGATGTTTGAAGTTTTTAATTTTTTTGAGTGGTGAATGGAGATACACTTAATGTAGAGATTATGGGAGAAGGGTGGGAAGTGGCTGATAGAGGAGATAAAGAGTTCAGTTTGAGCCTCTGGATTTGGTAGGTCAGTGTGTGTACATATCATATGCAACTGATGGGGTAAGGGGGAAAAGATCCCTGAGTTTAGAAGCAAGGTCTGGTTTGGAGATAGGAGGTGAAAAGTTGAACTTATAATCATGTGTTCATACCTCATAGGTCTTTGCGTTATCTTTTATCTCTAACTATAGACAATGAATAAGGAAGACTCAAGAAGAATTGATGCCTTTGAATTATAGTGTTGGCGAAGAATACCAAATATACCATGGACTGCCAGAAGAACAAACAAATCTGTTTCAGAAGAAGTACAGCCAGAATGCTCCTTAGAAGGGAGGATGGTGAGACTTCGTCTCACGTATTTTGGACATGTTATCAGGAGGAACTAGCCCCAGGAGGAGGAAATCATGCTTGGTAAGACAGAGGGTCAGTGAAGAAGAGGAAACCCTCAATCAGATGGACTGACACAGTGGCTGCAACATAGCAACGACTGTGAGGATGGCCCAAGACCGGGCAGTGTTTTGTTGTTTTACATGGGGTCTCTATGAGTCAGAACCGACTTGGTGGCACCTGACGACAACAATGGATAGTGAGGCTTTGTTTTCAGCTGTAATGAACAAGCTGAGGAGAAATTTTAGGGAGTAGAAGTATTTACCTTCAAGAGATAAAAGGTGCCCTAAAAGCAAACGCTTACCTGTGTGTTTCATACTGAAAGCACCAAGGGCAGGCCCTTATATGTCATGTCCCACCTCTATTCCCAGCTCTAGAACAGAGGCATGTTGTAGCCACTCACATATTTGTGAAATGAATGAATAAACGGATAAGTGACGGGATGAATGAATGAATTAATGGATGATGAAGAACAAATGAACAAACTTACAGGGCATAATAGGGAGCTGCGGAAAGGGGAAGCCACACATGACCTTTCTTTCTTTTCCACAACCACTTTCCAAGACTGAAAGATGAGAGGCCTTGTTGCATAGTGGTTAAGTACCTGGACTCTGAATTCAGGCTCCACGGCTTTCTAGTTGCTGACTTAACCCCTTGGTGCCTAGGCTTCTTTTCTGTAAAATAAACAGTTAATGCTTAGAGGAGTGTCTGGGAAAAAGTAAGTTTCACTTAAGTGTTAGTGTTATTATTTTTGGCATCTTGATGAGAAGGTAAGCTTGCAAGACAAGTGGGACATTCCCTGTACAGAGCGTGAATCCAGGCACTTATCCTCTACGTGCCATTCAAAAGTGAACAATCGCCTTTTCTCCCTCCGCCTTCCAGACGGGTTTAGCGATCCTACTCCCCTCCCCTCCCCCGCGCCAACTTAGCTTTCACTAGTAAGAGGTAGAGCCTAGGTCTTAGTTCCAGCTGCCAGCAGTGAGCTGTGTGAATTTATCAAGCCCCATGCCTTCTCTGGGCCTCGGTTCACTCGCCTGTCCCCGGAAGGTTGCAGGATCTGAGAACCAACGACTCTTTCCGCTAAGACGGACCCTGTTCTCCGAGTCGCCAATCCCAGGTTTCCAAGTCCACTGCCGGGCACTCCCTTTCCCCCTCCGGGGTGCCCACATCGGTCCCCTTGGCGCGCGGCGTCCCCGAGCTACCCGCACCCTGCGCGCCCGGGCTGCAGCCCAGCGCCCCGCACTGCCCGGGGGGAGGCGCCTCTAGGGCGCCCTGCGGCCGGGATGCCAGTTGCCCCGCGTCCGGCGCGCCCTCGCCTAGCGGCTCCCCCAGGGCACGCGGCGCCTTTATACCGAGCGTGCTGGCGGCTCACTAATGTTTAACTCGGGGCCGAACGTTGGGAGCGCCGAGTGATTCTGTGCCCCTAGGAGCGGAGCAGAACACCCTTCTCGGCGGCTCCCCGTGCCGTCTGCCTGCGCTGCTGCTCGGGAAAGCTCAGTTCCGAGGAGACTCCGACAATGAAGGTAAGTGAGTAGCGCGCGTCACACTTCTCCCGCCTCAGGGTCGCTTTGTAGGTGCCTCTTCACCAAACTTTCCCCATACTGCCTCAAAAGCTCGCGGAACCGGACCAAACCCATCAAACCAAACCCATTGCCGGACATTGGATTCCGATTCACAGCGACCCTACACGGCAGAGCAGAACTGCTCCCATAGGGTTTCCAAGGCTGTAATCTTTACGGAAGCAGACTGCCCCATCTCACTACTGCGGAGTGGCTGGTGGGTTCCAACTGCCGACCTTTTAGTTAGTAGCACAGCGCTTAACTACTGTGCCACCAGGGCTTCTTGGAAAGGATCAGGGACTCCCATTAGGCAGAAACCCCAGGTCACCCTCTGACAAGTGAAGGGACGCCCCAGGGCTCTTTCGCCTCTCTCGGACCAGAGAGGTTTCTTCTAGAACCGAAGTACCGAATCTTGGAGGACCGGAGAGCCGCCCACAAAACGGAAGCCCGAATCCTCACTTCGCCTCAGGCAGGCAGGAGTAGAGAAATTAGTGCGCTCATAGGCCACAAATTCAAAGGCTCTCGCCCTTGCAAACCCCGGTCGGCGCACGCCAAACACTCCCAGTCCCCTAACCCCTTTTTCCAACTCGCGCCCATCCGCAAATCCAGCTGCCCGGTGAGACGCTCGGGCCCCGACCCTCTTACCCAGACTGGGACCAAATGTTTCCTTCTAACACACAGTCTGACCTGCTTGCAGACACTGTGGAAGGTTCTCCTGGGACTCCTGGGTGCTGCTGCGCTCGTCGCCATCATCACTGTGCCCGTGGTTATGTTGAACAAAGACGGTAAGTTTGAAACATTCGAAAAAGATAAGACAGTTGGAAGCCAGAGTCAGATTCTGTGTTATCACAGTAAGGGGACCAAGGGATTTTGCTGGATACTTCGACCAGCGCGCCGGGTTGTAGCTGCTCCTAGTGTGGCGGCAGGATTCACTTCGCGGAGATTCCAGTGTTTTGGATGTGAGCCTTGCAACCGACATGTTTTATTATGTATAACAAATGTATACTTCCTGAAATTAGGGGGAAGTCTTCTGATTTTTCTTTTTATTAAATTTAAAATGCACTTTTGGGGTCGTGATCCTTGAAGGAAAAGAGACAGTATTTGAAGACCTCAACCTTAACTAGTAAGGATGTCTTAACCGGGGAAACACAGGAGAAAGAAAAGTCCCAAAATACGGTTTTGAGAAAAGATGGTACACAGGCGCCCTGGTTGTTTTCCTTCAGATATGATGGGAATTCATCCGCTGGACGGTTAGGATACTCGGAAGCAACTATTTGGCCACTTTAGAAGTATTGCAGAGATAAATCATAAAGCTGGCATGCATGATAATATTCAGAGGGGCTGGGATTAGGGCGTTTTGGTGGATTCTTTTCGTTAAAGTACCTTCATATATTTTAGATTGCCTGAATGTTCTAGTTTAGCTTTAGCTCTTAATAGCAAACATTCAGATAATTGAATGTACCCTGTTTAATACAAGCAAGTGAGAATACTAGTTTGGGTCTTCTTTGGCCCTCCTTTCCTTTTAAATATTTACTTTTATTTCAGTATTACAAACTAAATCAGCCAACTGAGCATTCTCTCTGGATGGTTAGCATGTCCAGTCAGCCAGGAAGTGTACAGACAGTGCTTACATAATGAAGGGTGTTTTCTAGATTTTCAGGTGACGGTTCAGAATTAGTTCCAGTATTCCTTGTAACTAACCAGTTGCAAATCGATTCCTACTCATGGCCACCCCACATGTGTTGGAATAGAACTGTGCTCTGTAGAGTTTTCAATGTCTAATTTTTCAGAAATAGATCGCCAGGACTTTTTTTTTCACAAATCTCCTCCGGGCGAACTCGAACCTGCTTTGAGTTAGCAGCTGAGCGCTTTAATCGTTTGCACCACCTGGGGTCTCCGTATTCCTTACAGAGCTATTATAACCCGTTTGCCCTGAAATTTCGGGGCCAGGGCAGAGGTGCCAACAGTTCAGTAATGGAGTGCGTTGGCCTGTTGATAATTACATTTAGTTACTTAAGAAAGCAGTGTTGCCACCATTTTAGACTACCAAAGGTATACATCAGTCCACTTATATTTGACTCCTCCTGAACTTTTAAAATAGGACTTTCTTTGTAAAGTGATTCTTTGTGTACTTAAACAACTACACACACAAAGCCTTGTTGTGGGGGAAGAATGGGTCATTCATTCAATCAGTAAACAGTCAGAGGGCTTACATTATGTGTCAGGCACTGTGCTAGTTGCTGCAGATACAAAGATTAAATTTTATAAATATAAGGGTCTCTGACCCTGAGAAATTTATAATCTAATGGGAAGCAGATATGCAAACAACCCAAAATAAACTGGATAGTACATTTCTGAGAGTCTCCAAAATCTCATTGAAGCACCACAGTGTCACTGCCAATATGAGCAGAACTAATTATCAGAGCGTCCCTTAAGAAAAGTTAGAAGGATACTGTACTTTGATAAGCTGCTTGAGATGGCCAGTGAAATGGCCCAGGAATCTGATTCACACAGCGTGATCTCTTTCCCCAGGGATTGGTCCCTCCTGATAACATGTCCAAAGTAATATTGAAGTTGTCAATGATTTCATTTTACTTGGATCCACAATTAACGCCCAAGGAAGCAGCAGTCAAGAAATCAAACAATGTATTGCAATGGGCAGATCTGCTGCAAAAGACCTCTTTAAAGTATAAAAAAGCAAAGATAATCACTTTGAGGACTAAGGGGTGCCTGACCCAAGCCATGCTATTTTCAGTCATCTCATATCCACTCGAAAGCTGGACAATGAATAAGGAAGACCAAAGAAGAATTGACACCTTTGAATTATGGTGTTGGCAAAGAATATTGAATATTCCACGGACTGCCAGAAGAACGAACAAATATGTCTTGGAAGAAGTACAGCCAGAATGCTCCTTAGAAGGGAAGATGGTGAGACTTCTGAAGTTAACTCTAGGGATTTTGATTTGCTGGGTAGGGCATGTAGAGTGGGCAGGGGCTGTCATGCCATTTCTCTGTACAGCACCTACTGTCTTCTTCAGATGGAATTTGTGCTCCATAGGGTTTTCAATGGATGATTTTTTTGAAGTAGATCACCAGGCCTTTCTTCCAAGGTGCCTCTGGGTAGTTCCTTTGAACCATCCAGGGACTCCATCTAACTACTATTGTAATTCAATAAAATAATTTAGAGGGGATTGAGCGAACTTCCCTAGGGGTTAGGAGGAGGACTTCCAGCTATCTGGGAAAGTCAGAGAAGACTTCTCATAAAAAGTTTCTTTTGTGAGGAGGGTTGAATAATTAACATCAATATCTGGAGATAAGTTTTTCCAGAAAAGGTGAATGCCTTTCACCTTTCCTGTCTTTACAGAGATGCAAGATTGCATCTTCTATTCTGGGATTATAAGAGGATCCTTGGCCAGAGAGAAGAGTGGGCAGCAGGAAAAGGAATTTGACTTTAACCTATAGAAGGCCACTGGGGAATTTGGAACAGTGGAGTATGCTTGCTAGTGTTAGGCCTGACAGTGGGAAGGAGACTGAAGTGGAGCAAGGCTGGAGGGAGAAGCAAGGAAAGTGGCTCAGGAGACTGATGGCGCAGATCAGAATTGGAGGAGGTAGAGAGGGTTGATTTGAGAACTAGTCAGACATGTTAAAGTTGAGACTTTGGCAATTGGTTAAATGTAGGAAGGGAGTAAGGTGGCTAAGATTGCCTCTTGAGAGACTAGGTGGAGATGTGGTTTCATTGTATGTTTTATTTACACTTATCACTCAAGTTATTTCTCTTGTATTTCTTAATTGGCATGTATGTATGTTTGAGGAGAAAAGGGAAATTATCTTGTTTTAGCTCCTGCCTTATTTTAAGGGTGTTCTAGGGTAAAAACATCACGAAGTTTAGTAAAGCAAAAAGGAAGTTTTATTCGGCATATGTTCAAAGAGGCAAAAGTGAGAAGCAGACAAGCAAGCATGCTGCTAGAGCCAAGGAAGTCATCAGTATATATTAACATTATAAAATGGGCAAAACCATTGAATGCTTCGCCTTTTCACAGATTAGCTAGAAACTGTGATCCTACATTTTGAATTGTCTTAACAATCATTGGTACAGGTTTCGGTAATGACAGTCAGGAGGGTCTTCACTGGTCCAACAAATTTTCTATTCACTAAATGCTAGTAGAAAAAGGTAAGAGTGGAAACTCTTTTGTGTCCTATTTGATGATTTTTTTATGTGGAAGTTTCCCAAGAAGATACTTTCAAAGATTGTCCTAACTATTGTCTTTATACCTCAGGGCCCAGTTGATGTGTCCTTGTGAGTCCAGCTCCAGCTAGGTCACATTTTAGGACAGGCAATAATGTCTCCAATATTATCTCCTAAATCAAGGGACAGAGATGAAATCTCAGGAACGCAGCAGTTCACTAAATCAGTAATACCGTTTCTGGGCTCTGCCATCATAAGGGACAGTATTTTTTACAAAGAATCCGGAGTCATCACCCAAAAAATGTCCTCCATTTCATCAGTTTAGGTTTAAAGTCAAACAAATACAAGGGAAGAAGAGAAAGAGGGGAAAAGGAGGGAAGAAAGAAATAAGAAGGGAAAGGAAAGGAGTTGAAGGAGGGAGGGGGAAGATTTTGATAGGAAACTACCAGCAGAAACAAAGACCTAGATTATGTGGAAAGCAAAGAACTAAACAGCCAAAAAGAAGGAGGAAGAAACGAGCAAACCTAAATTCATCCCCGAGAAGTTTGTTTAAGACATCAAGTATTTTCACACGAAACACTGACTTCAGCAGAACTAGACACACCCAGAGCAGGAAGAGAGAAAGAAATTGATTCCCAGAAACGTGGGCTTAATACCGTTGCCATGTTTTTTAGAATAAAAACTCCCTGAGGTCAGGGATTTCCCCAAGCTAAATTAAAAGTTCACTGCTTTCTATATATTATAAAAAACGACTGTGTTTTGTTTTAGATCTCTCAATTATCCTATTATAGAAGGATATTGCATATTTAAATCTTTAGTTTCCCAGAGAATCAGCAGTAAAGTATATAAAAATACTTTACTCATATGTAATTATGAAAAAATCTTCATAACTTAGTATAATAAGAACTCACTTAGTACTTGTGATCTCTTTTCTTCCCTTTTATATTGTATTATTTGCTGAGTTTTTGAAAAATTTGGGTGTCAAATAATTTTTATTATTGAGTTTTATTACGGGATAAAAGTATATCTGTTCTTCTTTTGCTCTTTTCACAGCTTTAGCAGTAAATTTCCTCAATACCTTCTTTCAGTGCATAGAAATTTGACTGCTGACCCATCCATCAGTAATAAAAGACAACCCAATGTGAAGGAGACAGGAATAATCAGAGAAAGAAAAGATAACATCTATGAAGTTTGCCTGAGGAAGTCCAGGATCTATTCCAGGTTTAAAAGCACAGAAATGAGTCTGAATGAAAGCTTTGTATATTCCAGAAGACAATTTCTAAACAGTGTGCTCTGTAAAAGCTCGGGTTGATCTCAGGCTACTCAGTTAACTCTTGTCAGCCTTTTTCAAGTGCTCATGAGGTCAGTGAGTTGGTCGTTCTCAGGCCAGCTATTTGGGCTTTTGGTTCCCTAGCTATAGCATATGCCTTAAATTTCTCTGAGAAATCTGCCTCTCTTTGCTAAAGAGATGAGAGAGAAAAAGGGAGGATTGTTTTCCCAGTGGTTAGAGAAAGACTGCATAAGGGACTGATAAGAGCTGGATCAGTGTACTTGAAATTTTATGACTTAACAAAGTACTGAGGCCTACAGGGGATGTGACTGCAAATAATATGCAGGAACGCCTTGCTTGTACAAGAGAAGTATGCAAACCTATAATAATAGCCAACATGTATTTACTGTGCACCGGATATTAGGCATTTGCTCCTTACAACAACCCTTTGAGAGGTACTGTTATTATCCCCATTTTTATAGCTTTGCAGAAACTTTGAGAGGGTGTTTTAGTTATTTATTGCTGTATAATAAATTATCGTAAAACTTCATGGCTTAAAACAAAAAAACGCTTATCTCACAGTTTCTTTGGATCAGGAATTTGGGAGTGGCTTAGGTGGGTGGTTCTTGGTTGGGGTTTCTCATGAGGTTGCAGTCAAGGTGCTATCTGAAAGCTTGCCTAGAGCTGGAGGATCTACTTCCGAGCTCACTCGTGTCTGTTGTGCAGAGGTCTTAGTTTCCCACCATGTAGGCCTCTCCACAGGGTGACATGGCAGCTTGCTTCCCTTACAATGAAGGAACCAAGAGAACAACCAAGCGGGAAGCTTCAGTGCCTTTTTATGACCTAGCCTCAGAAATGACTTAGTATCACTTCTACTGAATTCTTTTGGTCATACAGGCCAAGCCTGACACAGTATGGGAAGGGACTACACAAGGGTGTGACTACCAGGAAGTGGAGATCCTTGGGGGCCGTCTTGGAGGCTGGCTACCACAGAAGTTAAGGAACATGCTCAGAATTGCACAGAGTTGGGATTCATCCTCAGGCAATGTGAGTCCAGAGTAGATACTCTTAAACTCCATATCAGTCTGTTAGTTTTTGATCAATGCAAATTTAATTTGGCCATGTTGGCATAATTATTTCAACTTACTATATATATATAGATATAGTTTCGTGACTACTAATATCCCATATGCTAATTGTTCTGAGGAAAAGAACCTATTACTAATGCCTCCATACCTAGATAAAGCTGTATATAGGTAGCACTGACATCCCAAGCTTTTGGCTGGTCTTATTAATATTATGATTAGTAGTAGTAGTAGTAGGTCCAGATTTACTACTTGCAGTAAATTACACTTGTTTTGTTTTTGCTGCACTTTATATTATGATGAAAAAAATTGGAAACAGATAGTGGTAATGGTTGCACAACATGATGAATATAATTAATATATAATTAATGTCATGGAATTGTATGTGTAAAAAAAAGTTGAAATGGCAAATGTTTCATTACATATATTTTTACCACAATTAAAACAAAAGAAACCGAGGCATCCAAAGTTAGGGGTGTGCTAGAAAGTATTGGAACTTGAACTTCAAATCTTCTGACTTCTGTTCTTTCCTGAACCAGCTGGCTCTCATAAACAATTGTTTTAAAGAAATGCCTTGGTAAGAGTTTTTCAGAGTTAATGTATAATCACTGCTTTATGGCTGGGTGCTAATCCTTTCATCGTTGTGAATCAATATCTTGTAAATATTTTTATCTTCAGTCTTCACATATCCGTTTTGACCTCCAAAAGAGGGTGTGTCTCATTCTGAGAGTAATCTGAAACCACAAAATTAGAATTTCTGAGTTAGCTCTTTTATTCTTTCCCAAGTGCTGCATTTGCAATTTTATATTGTACTTCAAAATTATAACTCTCTAGGAAGTTTTTTTTGAAACTTAAATATAAACCATTTGCTTTAGTTAACGGTCCATGTTAATAGGGACATTTCTTCACTATTTGATTCACTGGAGAAGTAAGTACACCCATAAGCTTAAGAGACCCTTAAAGGTCGGTCACATAACTCAGTGTCTAAGGCTGCAGGAGCACAGGTAATTTAAAGTAGAGCTAAAGCCGACAGGGCTTTTGTTCCTGGCACTGTGTGGGTCACTGTGGCTCAGGTGTATGTATATATGCCTGTGGAGGCAAGGGGTAGGAGAGGGCAAGTATCAAGCAGGTACTGCTCTACCTCCTGACTTACTTAACAGTGGACTCACAAAATCGAGCTAGGTGGTCCATGTAGTGTTAGTAGCATCTCTGTGGGATTGAGACCCTTTCCCCGTGTTTTAAAGCCCAACTTAATCACGCTCGGATCAAAGAGTTTCATGGATGGCTCTTATTTCTCTGTTATGTTCTTTTATTCTTTTATCCCAGGCAGGAAGCTCTTTAAGTATGAGATTTGAAACTCCTCTAGTGCTAAGGTTCTCTAGCAGCTAGACTTGTTGCCATCGAGTCGATTTCGACTCATAGGTAGATTCAAACTGCTGACCTTTTTGTTAGTAGCCGAACATTTAATCAGAGCACCACCAGCGTTCCCTAGTAGCAAGAGGCAATATTAATTAATTTAACAATATTTATTGAATGTTACTGCAAGTCTGTAACAAGGTGTTGTTGCCAGTACAGGAGATATGGCTGTAAGCAGTGTACACGAGGGTCCTGCTCTCATGGAGCTTTACATTCAGTAGAGCAGGCAGATAATAAGTATGTAAATGATTTCACAAGGTAATAAATGTTATGGCAAAAATAAAGTGTGATAGAGAGGACTGAGGGACACAGAATGAATTTCTTATTCCAAGTGTGATTTGGAGCCACTAGAAGGTTAAGGTGTGAGTGTGGCATGATCTTATTTACGTTTTCAACTCCTGTGTGGTGAAAGTTCAGGGGGAGGGGTGTTTTGTCCAGGTGAGAGATGATAACGCCTTGTACAAGAGTGGTAGCAGTGGAGATGGAAATAAGTAAAAACCAAAAAACATGGGATATATATACCAGAGGTAAGATAATGTATGGCAATGTGAAAAGCAAGGGTAAGCTGGCTGAATAGCTGAAGGTGAGATTTTCCTTTTCCCTCCTGGCTATTTCCTTCCCACAAGAGCTAATGTGAAGTGGTTCTTCTAGTTTAACACCCTCCCTTATACTCTTGGGTTAGTCTTTCCCTTTCCAAGGTAGAGCTTAGGAGGATCCTCTAGGTCATAGAGGATCCTCCAACACAACAGAAGGTAATTCGCCAATGCAGCAAATTCGTATTGAACACTTTCTACATGCCAGGGTAATTTGGCTATAAGGATATAAAGATGATAGATACTGCCTTTGTCCTCAAATTATTCACAGTATTAAAGGAAGCATAAATATTAACTATAATCAAAAGTCTAAGTGCCCTTCAACTTCTTAGACATAACCAAACACCTTGCAGGACTAAGTTCCTAGGCTCGAAGGTAAAGGATTATAGACTCAGGGAACATCTACAACATAGTTCATAAAGACAAAGTTCTGCATCCTACTTTGGTGAGTAGTGTCTGGGGTTTTAAAAGCTTGTGACCGGCCATCTAAGATACAGCTATTGGTCTCTTACCATCTAGAGCAAAGGAGAGTGAAGAAAACCAAAGACTCAAGTGCTCGGCTACCACTACCAACCCTTCTGATTAGGATCATAACAGAGGGTCCCAGACAGAGCAGGAGAAAAATTGTAAAACAAAAAATCAAATTAACAAAAAAGACCAGACTTAATGGTCTGAAAGAGACTGGAGGAACCCCCAAGACTATGACCCTAAGACACCCCTCTGAACTGGAACTGAAGCCATTCCTGGAGACTGCCTTTCAGCCAAACCGTAGACAGGCCCGTAAAATAAACAATAACACCGAGAGGAATGTGCTTCTTAGAACAGTCAATTATATGAGATCAAAAGGGCAACACTTGCCCAAAAGCCAGGATGAGAAGGCACTAAGGGGTAGAAAATCAAGACAAAAGGAAATTGTGAAACTATGGCTGAAATGAGGAGAGTGCTGACACATTGTGGGTAATGAAACCAACGTCATGGAACACTTCATGTACAAACAAATAGGAAACTAATTTGCTCTGTAAACTTTCACCTAATGCACAATAAAAAAGTTTAAAAAAAATCTAAGTGCTCTTCTAGTAAATGATCAAAGTGCTATAGAAGCACTAAAGACCAAATGATAAATACTGCCCAGGGAAATCTGTACAGAAACCAGCCAACCATAAAGGGTTAATAATTAATGGGCCTAAATACAATCCTCTCAATTCTCCATCCCCCAGGTATGCAGTTCACCTATATGTTTAGTCCTCAGCAGTTTACAGCTCTCTGATTCTGTGTGAGGATTATATCAGATAGAATGCTTTAGGCTGCAAGTAACAGAATATCTGACCAAAAGTTATTTAAACCATTTTAAAAAAAAAGTAGCCATTGAGTCGATTTTAACTCATGGTGACCCCATGTGTGTCAGAATAGAACTGTGCTCCATAGGGTTTCCAATGGCTGGTTTTTCAGAAGTAGATTGCCAGGCTTTTTTCTGGGGTGCCTCTGGATGGACTTGAACTACCTGCCTTTCAGTTAGCAGCCAAGCGTGTTAACTGTTTGCACCACCCAGGGACTTCATTTAAACTACAGACTACTATTACTGTGTTATTATTAGCATTGTAATAAGAAGTCCAGAAGTAAGGTAGTTTTAGAGTTTGTTCATTTAGTGGCCCAACAACATCCTCAAGGACCTTGTTTTTTTCCCATCCTTAACTCTGCCATACTCAGCCTGTTGACTTTTGTTCTCAGGCTTGTCCTCTCATGGTTGAGGATGGCTGCTACAGCTCAACACATCACTTGCTCACACAGCTGTTTTGTAAGGCAGAAGAAAATGCTGTTCCTCATTCAGTGTCTTTTGTACCAAGGAGAAAAACCATTTCTAGAAGCCTCTCCCTGCTCCCTGTTGGCAGAATTTCCTAATTGTCATATTGGTCAGACTTTTGCCACTTGCTCATTTTTAAGCTAATCACCGGCAAGAGAAATGGAATCACCACAGTTGGATTGGACTAATCAAGACTCACCCTTCTGGGAGTAAGGAGCTGCCCCCTCCTTTAGCACATGGAAGGGGAAGGGTAAACACCTAAATTGAATTCTGAAAAGAAACAGAAGGGTCTGTGTTGTCATGTCATATATTTCTTTATAGCTGTCTTTTAATTGTTTCAACAAATGGATGCAGCGCTGGAAGTGCTCACTCATCTATGCCAAGAAATTTGGAAGACAGCTACCTGGCCAACCAACTAGAAGAGATCCATATTTATGCCTATTCCCAAGAAAGGTAATCCAACTGAATGCGGAAATCATCGAACAATTTCATTAATATCACACTCAAGTAAAATTTTGCTGAAGAGCATTCAAAAGCAGCTGCAGCAGTGTATCGACAGGGAACTGCCAGAAATTCTAGTTGGATTCAGAAGAGGACGTGGAACCAGGGATATCATTGCTGATGTCAGACGGATCCTGGCTGAAAGCAGAGAATAGCAGAAAGATGTTTACCTGTGTATTACTGACTATGCAAAGGCATTCGACTGCGTGGATCATAACAAATTATGGATAACATTGCGAAGAATGGGAATTCCAGAACACTTAATTGTGCTCATGAGGAACCTGTACATAGATCAAGAGGCAGTCGTTAGAACAGAACAAGCAGATACTGCGTGGTTTAAAGTCAGGAAAGGTGTGCATCAGGGTTGGATCCTTTCACTACACTTATTCGATCTGTGTGCTGAACAAATAATCCAAGAAGCTGGACTCTGAAGAAGAACGGAACATCGAGATTGGAGAAGATGCATTAACAACCTACGTTATGCAGATGATACAATCTTACTTGCTGAAAGTGAACAGGACTTGAAGCGCTTACTGATGAAGATCAAAGACCCAGCCTTCAGTATGGATTACACCACAACATAAAGAAAACAAAAATCCTCACAACTGGACCAATAAGCAACATCATGACAAATAGAGAAAAGATTGAAGT